AGGAATTTATCATGGCTTGTGAACCCAATGTTCAGCCCTCAGTGACACTGTCAATGCTTGTATTTGCTTTTGTCTATGTCAGACCATTGGTGCATTATATACAAATAGAATGTGCTTCAAACTCTATAGGTATGCGCGCAACTGCTTGTACTACATCCCGCCGACTGCTGGTGGAAGGCCTCAGCCGCTACCGCTTTCGGAATGCTTAGTCATACTCGGTGATCTCGGGGAGACGATTTCTTCCAGCCGTCCTATAGCGTTCTCCTCCTCTGTTCGTTCTGTATCCGGTAATAAATTAAAAATAGATTTGTATTACATAACATTGCACGTGCGCCCTAGTAAAGGAGGAGCGAGAACGCTAAGGACGGTGGTTTAGGAGCCTGTTATAAGTCGGTGATCGACGGCTTAATGCTCCCTTCGGCAATTGCCGACGAAGCCAATATTCAGCCTTCCCATGCAGAGCTCATCGTCGACGACGGTGACGACGACGGCAGGGCAAACGAGAACGCAACACATACTGATGCAATGAACTCTCTCTTATTGTTTGCGTCTTTTACCGCTTTTCTTGGTCTTGTACCAGGCTCCCCGTACCATGTGGCGCCTGGAGCCGCCGCCGTCCGCTCTGTGCCCCTGTTCGCCCGCACAGACCCTTACTTCCCGGCCGATCCTACGAGCTGCCCGATATGCGAGGCACAGTACTCGCAGATTAGTAGCTGTGCACAGGCGGCCCCTGTCCTGGCCAACTTCACTATGGTATGCACCTGTAGCAGATTGTTACGAGGGAAATACCTGAAAGAGTGTGATAGGTTATATTCAATCCCGGAGCCTTCATCGACGTCATTAAATGTGCTTGCACGGATACTTTCCAGTCTGTGTTCCCTCAATGCGTTGACTGGTGTGTACATATTCCGACCGTGCTGAGTTCTACGTGATGTATAATCCTGGTATAGCTTTACGAAGACAAATCAAACGGACGTCCTGAATACCCCGGACCTGCCCGCAGTAGTTTCCGGCATGCGCAACGTGTGTGCTCTTGAGAGTACGCTGCTAGGGAATGTTTCAAACGTGGATGGCGAGACCACGCCAAGTAGCAGTGCTCCGGCTCCGACCTCAAGCACATCCGGCGGTGATTCGTCGCTGAATCCAGCTGTCAACGAGAAGTTGCTCTGGATGACGTTGGCCATCCTTGGATTGTCGTTCATAGCCTGACCAGGACATTTGCATCATTGAATTTCCAGGAATTCCGCGGTTGCTTCACCCCTTCCCCCTCCGATATTTCTTGGTATTATAATGACCGTCACGAAGTTTACGACCTTTATGACGAGCATTTTGTTTATCCTTACCTGTGTGTACTATCCTGGATACATTTGAACTGCAGGAGTTGGATCGAGATATCATTTCTGACCTGTGTGATCGCGAGAGTCGCTATTGTCTCTCCGAACTGTGTCAGAAGGGGTCATGAATAATGGCCGTATAATCATCATACACGCATTGCACATATTGTGATTCTATCATGTCTATTATCACTATGAACCCAACATAAAACAGGCGATTGCATGCTCCCATGCCTACTGTATTATAATTATATATATGGGAGAGTCGACTGTAACTCGGAGCGCGTTACGCGTTACGTTTCTTCCACTGGTTGCTGTACTGCCTCCAGTTCCTTCTTCTTCGAGACTCCTCGCTCCCGCGACGGCACACGCAGCAGTGATCCCGCTTCTAGTCCTAGCTTGCATGCTATGCAGTAAACACAGCGTGTACGCGGTAAACCACAAGATCTTGAGGTACTAGTATAGAAGGCGCTCCACTACCTCCCTCTCAGCTTCTCCGAATTCGCTATCGCCCTGCCATGTTTTCTTTTGGACGACGCCAGCAGGCGCAAGCGTCAAGACAAACGCAAACATCAAGTCAGTCGCAAGCATCAAGACAACTGCAATCGCTAAGGCGGCCTCCTGGGCCGCCTGCGTTATCCGATTTGTCCACGCCGGCGGTGCCAGATAGCTTATGGTTTGCGTCGGACTTCCTACTCGGTGCGGGCATGGTCATTTTACAGCCAGCCACGGATAAGATTGTCGTAGTGTACGATTCGGCGTCGAGAACCTGGTTTCTTCCGAAAGGCAGAAAGGACGTCGGAGAGAGCACGGAGCAGGCCGCGCTGAGAGAAGCATACGAGGAGGTGCGTCTGAGGCTCTGGTGCGCTTGGTGTTGGCGGTCGCAGCCTAACTTATTGTTTCATCAAGTCTGGATATCGTGCTCGGTTCCTGCCCTTGGTCAGCTACAGTAGAGCGCCTGCTCCGGGTTCAAGATTTAATGAAGAGGCTACCACCGAGCCGATATTTCTGTCCACACAATACTTCCGGCCGCGATACGAAAACGACTACGGAGGCGAATATTTGACGTTCTGGTACGTCGGAGAGATTTCAGAGAACGCCGTCAGTAACCTAGGCTTTCCGCGAATATATCTGAGGACTTATGCAGTATGTAGGTGCGAGAAGAACACACGGGAATGGAAGATGAGCAGCACTACGTTAGCTATCTCCTGAGTCCTGCAGAAGCGCTACAAAGGCTTGGACGCACCTCTGTGCAAGGCAAAATTGTAGAGGTGGCATGGATACTGTTTAACCAGACGTATCGGCAACGACCTGATGCCACACAAACAGAGGAGCCGCCTCAGAGGACACAACGCTCCTCACGTTCGAGTATGCAGCGCGCGTCGAGAGCAGCCGGTGGATCGGCCTAAATGTCACTCCACGTCTCAAGGTCTTAGGTCGAATCCTCACGAATGCTGTGTCTTTTGAGGTTCACTCATCGATACCCGGACTTTTGTTATATCATGTTGTAAGTATAGACCCCATCACGTTTGCCCCTTGGGTACCCTTGTACTGCTAGCCACTCTGTCGCAAATGCTGTCGATGCCTTATCTTTCTCCTGCTCGCTCACCAAACGTATACCGGCCACCTATTTCATCAAAACCTATCAACATGATGACGAGCTCGATAGTGCGTGGTAACATAGCTCATGGATTACTCCCTTGCATTTCTAGCGGCCCTGTGAGGAATTGCTACCGGAGAGCGATAGTCACGAGATTGACCGGCGTGCAGGTGGACTATTGGTCCAACACTCAATTATTTCACTTCTATAGGCCATGCCTCCGCTGGGACAATAGTGGCTGTCATGTCCTCGTGCAACCTGAGACTTGCTGCTGAGCGTACAAGGATTTCTCCGTGTGGAATGCGTCACTGACAAGTAGGGGCATTGCTTCATGGGACGCGTCGGACTGACTCGATCCATGCCATTAACGTCGACACGATCACCACGCGTACGCTTGAGTCAACAGGGCTGAGCACGCAGCTCAACTATGCCAGATATAATGGATGCATATCAGAGTGAAAATTGTATTTCTACGACGACAGTAAATCCATACTTCAGGACATCAGACTTCAAGTTGTCTCTGGGTACCATTTGAACGCCTGTGGCGTTCGGTCAACATTCGGTACAGGCCCAAATAGCAGTAAACACGACGGCACGTGATGTGAACGCGGCTGCCAGTGGGCGCGTCTCATCAGGCCTCCTCTGAGTCTGAATTCTCTCTACACTCCTCTGCCACCCACCACCGTCTTCACCGCTGCCAGTCGCGAGTTACGCGTTTTGCTTCTTGTCTGCTTGCATACATTCTTGCCAGAATGGAATTTCGTACGCCGACCAAGAAACGCCGACACAGTTCTCCGCTACCGTCGATTGATCGCTACTCTGCTAAACGTAGGAGACTATCCGGGATAACGCCGGAGGCACCGAATAGTTTCAGACAGGATAACCCTTCCGCTAAGAGTCGGGCAGTAGGATGCGTACGTCTCCACCCTTTTTGCTTGTGAATGTCACTAATTTCAGCGCAGTCTGACCGGTTCATATCTCTAAGACCGGAGGTCTCCATACCCCTCTTCATCAGTCCCCGGACCGAGCGTTACACCCAATTCTTTGGTTTGAAAGGCCGAAATGTGCTCTCCTTCGAAAAGAAGAGCTCCGGAGAACACGAGAATGCGCCATTCCGATCGCTCTCCTCGCACGCTGAAGCGATCTCTGTCGGTACACTGGCAATACCGGCCACCTCAGCATTCGCAAATCTAGTCAATACAAGGCAAGCCGTTCTGGCCTTGGACGGTTCTGGGATTAGCCAAGACATATTTGCGCATCCTCTGACATGGTCGTACAAGAACGTCCTAGCGGTGGCATGCGAGATAGACTTATACTACCAGGATCTTACTACCCGTGCAGTCTCGCGACTCGGCTCTCTTTCAGGTCCTTACGGCGACTACCGCGCCGTCGAGTGGGCCGACCGACACGAAGAGAACACCCTTGCCGCCGGAACAACGTCTGGACTGGTGGAACTATGGAAGCTTGGTGGGAAGGATCCGGTGCGTCGATGGTCAACAGACAATTCAACTGGCAGCGTTGGAGGGATGGCCTGGAACGGACATGTTGTTGCGGTCGGCACACGCGATGGATCCGTCACGCTGTATGACACGAGGACGCCGGGTCCGGCAGGCATTGTTCATGCGCACAAGACGAAGGTGCACGGCGTGAAGTGGAGCATGGACTGGAATTATTTGGCTACGAGTGATGACTCGGGTGAAGTTTGTATTTGGGATTATCGGAAAGGCCGCGGGTTGTTCGCAGGGAAGAGTCTAGGGAGGATGAAACATGACGGACCCGTAAAGGTGAGCACCACATTCATATCTCTGACGTACCTCCTCTGAGGTGAATCGTCTGTTGCAGGCCATCGCGTGGTGTCCATGGGACGCAGACATACTCACCACGGGAAGCATGTACCCAGAAGGAGCGATCAAGACCTGGAGCATCAAGTCCGTCGCTGCATCGATAGTCCCAAACTCTGTGCCCAAGCGAACTATTAACCTCGATACCTCCGTAACGTCGGTTCACTGGTCGTCTCATTGTAAGGAGCTCCTGAGCACTCACGGGCGCTCCTGGCGACCGAGCGATCGGCCGAGTACGGGGACTCGACCGCCCAAGCCCATTCCCGTCATCTCTCCCCTGTCCAACTCGCTTACCGTGTTCAGGTTCCCATCGTATGGTCGTCTCGTAAGCGTAAAATCACATGGGAATCCCATCGGCACAAGCGTCGTCAGCCCGGACGGCACCTCCGTCTTCACTGTATGCCCTAAGGAAGAGAATATGAAGCTGTGGAAAGTCTGGAGTGCTGCACCGAAGAAGGAGAAGGAGAAAACTATGTATTCGCAGAGCATGATCCGCTGATTTATTGACCGTTTCCTCTATCGGGTTCCCATTCATTCTGCGCAATGCGTCGCTGTTTGCATATATGTGTAGCTTTAGTATGCCACTGTATGTCCTTCGTCCTTTTTGGCTTTTTATTTCGGGGTTCGCGCTACAGGAAAATAATGCGGGTTGTATGCCAAGAATACATGTAAACTTAGAACAGATACAGTGTCTCAACCTACACTGCTACCGGCCGCCCATAATGGGGAGGCCTGCTCAGTTGTCCAGAACATCCTTGAAACCCTTCTCGCTATCCACTTCTCCCGGAATATCATCCAGCTATCAACGATAATGTTAGGATCACACAGCTCATAGAAATACCAAGTGAAACCCACCTTGTCGAGATCATTGAGGCAGCTCTCGATGATCCCGATAGCCTTATCCAAATCCTCCTCAGAGATCACAAGTGGCGGCGCAAATCGAATACTAAGTTCCATCAGCATCCCGCTCCTCACAGGTGACAGGATGCAGCAACACATACATGTTCACATGCGTGGGCTTGGCAAGTACCCCGCGGCTCTTAAGCAGCAGGCAGAACTGCCATGCCGAGTGCCCCTTCTTACTCTGTCCCTCGTCGATGACGACGGCGTTGAGCAGCCCGCGCCCGCGGACCTCTTTCACGAGCGGTGAGTCGATCGCCCGGATTGCGGAGCGGAACTTCTCGCCTAGCCTTGCGGCCCGTTCCGCGAGGTTTTCTTCGACGAGGACGCGCAGCGCAGTCATGGCCACTGCACAGCCGAGGGGGTTGCTGTGATGGACGGCAGTGATGAGTTTGTTATTTGTGGAAAAGCAGCGAAACGTGGACTCACCCTCCGTAGGTACTTCCGTGCTCGCCAGGCTGGATGCACAGCATAACGTCGCGATCGGCTAAGACGGCCGACACGGGGTACACTGGAAGACAGGAATATCAGGACAAGTCAACATCGCGATGGACAGCGTTGTGCCGACCTCCACCAGATAACGCCTTGCCGAGCAGGATGACATCCGGTCTGATCTGGTCATGCTCGCAGCAGAGCATCTTGCCAGTCCGGCAAAGACCCTTGTGAGTGAACCGTGTCAGTGATTTATCAATAAACGAGAGACGGCCTCCTTACGGTTTGAATCTCGTCGCAGATTAGCAGGACATTATGCTTGATGCACAGTTGTCGGACTTTCTGCAGGTAGCCCTCGGGCGGAACGACGATCCTGGGCCGTCATCTGCATTACTCCGACTGCATCGGATCATAGTGAAGACGAGACGTACCCTGCCTCGCCTTGGATGGGCTCTACGAGGAATGCAGCTACGTTCTCCCCGTACAATTCCAGGGCACGCTCGAGATCCGCCACGTTGCCGTATTCGATGGTCCTCGTCTTGTCGCCATCCTTGTAGGAAGGGCCAACACCCTCCAAGTACGGCCCGAATCCCACCCTACTCTCCGGGTCCGTGCTCATACTATCCATTCCCCTGAGTCAGATCAGCGATGAGTGGACTCAAGCTCTCTCACCTGATCACGCCGATCGTCCGCCCATGGAAATTCCCCGCAACACTCAGCACCACCGCCTTGCCCTCGGGCACGCCCTTCCTCTGGTACGCCCACTTGCGCGCGAGCTTGATCGCGGTCTCGACGGCCTCCGCACCCGTGTTCATCGGGAGCACCATGTCGTAGCTGAACATCTCCGTGACCATCTTCGCGAAGCGCCCGAAGACGGAGTTGTAGAAGGCGCGCGAGGACAGGGTGAGTTTTTGCGCCTGATCAACCAGGGTGGCGACGATCCTGGGGTGGCAGTGGCCTTGGTTGACGGCGCTATGAGGGAGGAAGCACATTAAATGACATGTCCTGAGAAGTTGAATGCTGAGATACGTACGAATAGGCCGACAACATGTCGATGTATTCCTTGCCTTCAGGATCCCATACTCTGTGCCGGGTTAGAACTGTCAACGCCACATGGCAAAGTGACTCACTTCGCCCCCTTGGCCGACTCGAACACGATTGGCAGCGGGTGGTAGCTGCGAACAGGCACAAAGGTAAGTATATTCACTGACAGGGCAGAGATGACACACGAAGACTAGGTGGTCTGGCCGGGGGCTGGCTAGTGACTGCATGACTCTTCCGCCTTGGCGAGCACGCTAGGTCAGGCGAAAACCCCTCATTCACACACCCCTTGGAAATCGTTAGGAGGGCTGGAAACTCACTTATGTGCGCCATATTGGTGCTCTAGCTGAATCACGTCTGCAGAAGACAGGTGAACCGGTGCAGAGTCCTTTTTGCCATCGGACGCATGATTCCCGTTAGCCCTCGATCCGTTCTCAGTCGTTGCAACGGGCGCCATGTTGAATATTCCAGTGATAAAGTGTTGGGTGAGTATGCAGCAGTGTAAACCAGCGTAGTGGTGGTAGAAGAGAAAGAGTGCCTTCGCATTTTGGAATACGAGACTTAAAGACCTCGATTCTGTACAAAACAGGAAAACTGCCGAGGAATCTGTCCGACAGCGTCACCGTGTGGCTCTGGGGAACTTAACGAAGCCATCCAGAAGGTCCCCAGTAGCTCGTAGCGTGGCGGGGCAAGCTAACTGGGGAATGCACAGGCGTGGACTCGGATACCAAGCACAAGCCCTATAGAGCCAGCTGGCTGCTGGCCATTGGAGTAGTGTATATATATATAGCGCCACTTACTACAGGCTTGAGAAGGAAAATGGACAGAGCAGTAACATTGCTAGCAAGGAGGTGAATGAGGTGTGCCTGTGTGTGCTTTCCGAGTCGACTTAGGAAGACTTCACAGACTTCGCCATATTCCCGACAGGTCTCGGAGCATGTATGATCCGTCCCGGACGACCTGTAGTCCGGTCAAGTGCTCTTCCACTCCATGCTTGCCCAGCATAGGCTATACTGAATGGGACTGGCGGAGGCGCTTTTCGCTGCGTAGAATACACTCAACATGCCTTTGTCTAAGCTCCCGGCAAGTCTTACGAGTCAGGCAGACGGTCTGGACGTCATATCCATGTTGGTACTGGCGAAGGTTGTTCCCCTCGTTGAAGTGGAAACTACGTAATGCCTGTGGCAGCAGTGTGCTCGTAGTGTCCCCTTACGTGGCCAGGCCAGGCAAGTTATTCAAATGGCAAGTTCAAGGCTTATCGTCTTCCTGTTTATGAAGACCACACCGGCACTTCTCGATAAGATATCCAGAATAGCGTCAAATCGTTGTGCTGATATCGTGCAACATTCTTTCTGGAATCCGTATATGAAAAGTAGCCGAGGCATAGACTTTCCGCTGTATGTGGGTTTGTCAACAGTCCAAGGTCCGAGTCCAACCCCGGCAGAAAGGACGAATGGTGACTTTTAAATTTCCAGAGGCCCGTATACAGAATGCTTGCAGCTAAAAGGTGCCATTCAGTCACGTACGTCGGCAGACGAGGACTGATTGTCACTTCCTAATGTCCTTCAAAAGTCGTAAGTGCAGGAAGGTTCAACCGTATACCGGAGGCTCTTTCAGATGCCCGTTAACCCACAACCTCCGTCTCAGAAAGGCAGACATTTTTTGCACGCTGAGTCGTCATCATATTACTCTAGGCAAGTCCACGATGCATAAATAAATACATATACAAGATGCAACGCGAACTCAATCCTGTCCCTGCCCGCACTGCTGCCCAAGCCCCTGCTTCGGCTTGTCCGTCCCGACCGGGAAGCAGCTCCCGGTCCCCTGCGTGAACGTCTCCACGCAGATCGGCGTGCCGAACGGCGTCTGCACGACGAATGACGCGCGCGCACTCCCCGCCTTCTTGCGCAGGGCGATGCTTACCGCGCACATGTTCTTTATGTCGGTGTCATCGTAGAAGCCGTCGTCCCAGACCGTCTTCAGAGGCTGTGTGCATTGGACAAATCAGCGCCGTGCAAGGAATCGCGGGGAAGACGACTTACAGGGAACTGCAGGATGTGCGTCTTCGCGTTCTGCGTGGTTGGCGTCTGGTTCTTGTGCGTCGCGAGCCACGCAGACTTGGTGTGGCGGCCCGCGTCCGGGTTGCTCGCCTCGCCCTTCAAGACGTGGCCGGAGATGTGGTTAAACTCGGATGCCACGGCCGCCGGGATCACCCCTGCAGCGCTCTTGCCATTCACCGCCTGGAAAAGCTGTCGCACAAAACAAACCCAATCAGCTCCGACTTCTTCTATGGATGGACTGCTGACGCTCCACTCACTCCCTGCATCTGGTTCATCAGCGCGCACCCCTGCTTGTTCGCCGCCGTAATCTGGCCCGAACCTTTCTTCAGGTCGCATTTGAACGTCGTCTTGCTGAACCCGCACGCCGCGTTAGCGGTGCACTTGGCG